CCCTCCTTCCGTTCCCAGAATCCTTTCTCTCCAAAACTTCCGTATTTGGGTCCTAACAAGAAGCAATCCAAGAACTCAGGCAGAAAACGCAGCAGTACTTTGCAAAAGACATAAGTAATTAATTATTGCGGCGGAATCCAAGAAGGAGAGAGCATTGACACTTCATGCGAGCAGAAAAAATCATTTCTTTAGCATAGATTTATTTTTTCTGCTTCAAATAGATAGGTCTATGATGGTGTTGGAATTTGAGGAAGACAAAAGGGATGAGATTGTTTTTGGTTCTTTTGTTTCAGGAAAAAAAGTATTGTTGAGGATTCCATTCCCTGCAAAAGGGAAAAAAGGAAAAAAAGGGATGAAGATAGTCAAAGTGTTAGGTACTTAGATTTAATACATATTGCTTATTAATTCCAAAAAGGTAAAATGAGAGAGACCGAGGATGTTACTTCAAACTTTATATGAAGATTAAGAAAAACATTTGACATATTGAGATGAGGACTGTAATGATCGTAAAATAGAATGTTCATAACCCCCCCCCCCCCCCCAAAAAAAAAAAAAACAAAAACAAAAACAAAAACAAAAAAATGTGGTTTCTGAGGATCGTTGATCATAAGCTTGTATGTGGAGAACACTGGCAATGGAGAAAAGTGCAGTTGGTGTAGGCCCAAATACAGTTTGGGATACTAGAGCCTAGGAGGGACTCATTTGACCACCCCACATTGGTTTTAGCCCCAAATTTGTATTTCAAAATCCCATTTACTGAGGACACTTATTCTGACCTCTAGTTGATTTTTACTTTAATTTTTAGTTTAGAATTAGTAGTCCGCTTTAAAAGCTCCTTATAACTTTACATTTATACAGGAAATAAGGCTTTCAATGAATCTGTACTTGCATTAACATGCTAAAAGGCATCCTAAGGGGTATGAGTGATAAATGAACCTATGCCTGTATTAAGATGACAGAATATCACTGTGAATGCTGCAAAACTGAAGTTAAATAACCATAAAGCCAACATTAAAACCAAATCAGGTTCCACAATTTTTTTGTGAGATGAAACATATATAACGATTACACAACGTATCAATCATGAAACTTAAGTACAGATACTGATAAAGAGGACCAAATGTTAAGCAACTTACTTCTTTTCTAGATTCCATAAATCGGGAAATGCATAGCGCATCTGTGTATATGAAACGACTATTAGTTAATAAAGGCATATAGAAAGAAAGGGTCTGTTCAATAAGATATATAGAAGTCCAATAGTTTAGACAGGTTGAAATTGAACATTATAGACAATGGAATAGTTACTCTATTTTAGGATTTATTAAATGAAATTGGTTCAATAAGTAATAAATATAATTTTTACTGAAGTATTAACTTCATATAGGTTTTTTGATATAAAACATGTAGAAAGAAATAATTAAAGTTCCTTATTGCAAGAAAAAAACATTTACAAGAAGAAAAGTCACCACTTACAGATAATGATTCAGGATCACCAGCGCTGCTACCGGCTACAAAAGGATCAATGAGATAGTCGACAACCTAAATTGGACGTAAATCTATCAGTTTAAGAAAAATAGTACACAGCACTGCAACGATCCAGAAGACAAAAAGGGACTGAGATAAGCTGGTACATATTAAAACGGCATAATGGACTGTACTCCACCTCTCTTCCAAAATGACGACCAAAAAACTCTCCCACACTGCAGAAATAAAATAAGGAATGGTAAAAAGATTTCCCCTTCTAGAAGACTACAAGCTAAGACAAGGATATATTTTTTTCATGTACCAATGAGAGCGTGGTTACAGACATGCAAACTTGTGTACAAGTCCCAATAATATTTGTGTGCGTGTGTGCCAGATGCATTCAGATCTCCATAATTACATAAACATCAAAATAGGGATCATAAAAGATATTCAGAAACCATTTTCCTTTCAGTAAAAGTTCCGAACAGAATATGTTTGAGATGCGTGAAATTTTCACTGAGAGATATAATCAAGCTAACGAGAGTAGATTTAACAACTGTCGGTCATCAGTTCATACCCATAAGCAGAGTTCTCCCACTTGAGTGTCTGTGCCAAAGATGTTACCTTTTATACAATCCAACATCTCGAGGGTCATCCGTTCTGGGCCCAGATTTGGCATGACAAATGGCTCTCGGAAAGACCACCCAGTTTCGTGTCCACTTAGTAGTGGCTGCCAGTGGCTCACAGAAGTCTTTTATTAGCATAACTTTCCACTAGAGAAGTTGATCCCACTGGGCGGACTGGGATGTGGTTGCGGATATATTCCCCTTGTACACGCCCATCGTAACAGTGTCAAGCTTATACCAACCTTGCAATGTGATCTCCAGTAATGGGTGGCCACTTCACAGTTTGCTTTGCTAATAATAATTTAAAACCAAAAAATGTTTCCTGCCTTGCCCAAAATTCTTGGGTTAAGGATGTTCGTGCCACTGAAGTAGACCTTTTTTTATTTGGAAATTTCTAAGACTACAGTTCAGTAACCATCAAAAGACATCCTTTTGAAGCAGGGCCTCCATCCTACCATCAACCCTCTGTACTTGCTGCAATGGTACAAGAATGAGGGAACCAGAGGCTTTAGGTTTATGGCCATGGTAGAAGGCCAGAAATAATCTTATCTAATAGTGACTCTATTGTAACTAAGGATATTGCATACGACTGACCTTTCTAATTTTAGAGCAAGTAACTTAAAAGCTGGTTAAATGTAATAATGCTAGAAATTAGCATAAGGAACATTTTTCTTAAACCATCTGTTTTCTCTCTGCTGTTGGAAAATAGAAAATTAAAGAGTAGTCAGTAGACCCAATAAGTTTCTTCTAAGAATTGGAGCTATAACAGAGCATCAACAAGAGAACTGCCAGCTACTTATTGAAGTGATTGTCCTTTCGCAAACTAAAGTTTATGACTTCAACTAAAAATTTTTGACAGTCACATGCAGAAAGTTAATATTTAAGAAGACTGTTAAAAGACTTGCATTTCTGGCAATATCATGGACTTGGAGTCTGCTTTAATAGCCACCTGTAGGTTGATTTTCAGGAGGCAACTGACAGTCTGACATAGCACCAAATAAACAAATATCAAGTATCAAACACGTCTTAATGAAGTGTAGAAAGTTTGAAATGTCATGATCCCTGATTCCACATAAAGAGGGTGAGCAATAATAACTGGAGCAAAGAGGTTATAGAGTGGCACATGTAAGAACATTATTAGGCCAAAGACTACAAAGAAACATAAGTTTAACATATTTGCGTCACCAAGGTGTTAGATTACAAGCCCTCTATTGGCAGTGCAAAGAAGAAGATAACATATCATGTAACAGAAGTTTTCATCTCCTTGCTGCCTCGCTTACTGAAAAAGGAGGGAAATGTTGTCATCTTCCTTTTAAACTACAGCCACCCACTTCCACCTAAATAACTTTAGGTGACAAAAAAAATTACAAACTGTGTAAAACTAGAAAAATAGTATCGGTTCTGTTAGTTGATACATGAAATTCATTTTATTATAGTTACAAATTCAGACCAAATCGATGTGTAAGGTTACGAGATTGACTTTAACGTATTAGCTCAGTCACAAGTTTTACTACGCCTACTTTAATCCAAAATTAATATGAGTTTCAAGCTACACTTGAACACATTAGCTTATTCACAAGTTCTACTACGCCTACTCTAACCCAAATTAAGTTAAGTCTCAAGTTATAAAAACCAAAACTTTATCGCCAGGAGACATCCCAATTTGGCCCTAGACCATCACTGAGGCTCACACTACATATGCCAGCAGTAAGCTTCCCAAATGGTAAAGATTTTTATAATATCGAAGGTAAACTCATATATAGTGTTTTAATAATTATTCTTTTACATCATCCATGATAATTAGTTAAGAGACTAGTATATGTTTTGGACACTGAAAGTATCATTTTCTATAACATAAACTGCATCAAAAAATTAAAGAATCCAGTGTTTCTACATTAAGCAGTCACAACAAATATAAATTTGAAAATGTGAAGAGGCGTTACTATAGATTCTTCAACAGAGACTTTCCAGATTAATGAATTTGGTAGCTTGGTTAAGTCTATGAGCCAACTAAAAATGTATAGCTACTATTTTTAGAAAGATTAACATTTCTAGAGGGAGAAATTAAGAAAGTCTGCTCCACATGTTATTCTACATAGATAAAGCAATGAAAAGAAACTAGATGCTAATACATGTTTGGAATCAGAATACACCAAGGTAATGTATCATGACAGTGCCCAAAATTGAGTAAAACTAGTGCAATTTAGCGATAATTTTGATAGTATAATCACCTTTCCTTTACATCTTCACCTGACACCTTTGAGTCCTTTCTTCTATATTGCCTGCATGTGAAGGGCTCCAGAATTATCTTTAACTGTAAGAGTAGTCAGCAAAGGGCAAACTTCATTGAAGGAGTACCTCAGAGTTGCAAAATATTGGGAGAATGTTTAAAATAAAAAAAAGAAGCAGAAAGAAGAAAGAAAGTGCAAGTAGACAACCCATTAAGTTAAAATATGTTTTTCTTGCAATTTGTTCATTCTCTTGTTTTTTATACCCACTATAACTCTGGAGGAACAATTCTACCATGTAGGACAGTAAATTAAGTGAATGCCACAGGCTCACATAAGGAGACTGGCTTGCAAGTATCTGAGGACGCTTTTAAGATGTTCATGTTGTCTTTTGCAAAATATACATGGAAGTGGAATTTTATTTGAGACATATGTAATCATAAATCACATTCATGTTGAGTAGTATCTCAACTGAAATCCCGATTCTAATAAATTGCTTTTACTCGGATAGCATTGAAATTCCTAAAATTTAATTAATAATAATTGGTTAATGGAAATTGTGGATATTTGTCGCTTGAAACTACCTCCCCACCGCCACCCAAAAGGAAAAAAACCAATTAGTTGAATTCGAGAACGGAGTCAACTGCAAGTTGTATTAACTAGGTTATTTATTCAGGAGAGAATCTTTTACACAATTTTACCTGAGAATGATTACAATTTAGATAAATCAATACAATAGAGAAACTTTCGGTTATCTAGTAGAAGAAATTAGGATTTCTGCGCATATAGTGTTGGTGAAGAGCATGACCTATCTCCTACCTGAAAGTTGATTTCTTTTGTTTTATTTCCTCAGATAGCTTTTGTTCCAACTTCCAAGTCTATTGTTTGTGTTCAAAACTACATTTGATCATATTTTTCTCTCCTGCAAATCTTTTTCATACTGGAGATAAAGTTTCCAAAATCAGCGACGTTGCAAGCCTTGATTCAATCAGTTTCCATGCAGAACATTCATTCCCATAGTGCTCTATACTTGAATTGCAAGCTACGTTACCTAGACTCGGGTACGAGTATCCGATACGGGTGTGGATCTGAGTGTCCGATACGAAATTTTTGAAAATTTTGGATACGGGGACACCGTCCTAAATTTCGACACGGGTACGGAGATACACTTTTAATAATAGTTTAATTTATTTAATGAATTATGAAGTATAACTAATTAAATTCAAAAAATATTAATTTATTGTTTTTGGGATTGTAGGTATTTTATAATTTTTGCCGCATGCTCTGAAATCTATAAATTAATATATATTTCAGTCGCCTATTAGAGTAGTGTTTGAAAGTAAAAAAAAGAAGAAGAAAAAATAAAGTTGGTGTAGGGAGAGGAGATTGCTACGAAGGTTATTTATTTTTCCAGTCTTTGGTTAACTCCACGATGAGCTATCTTCTGAACAACACTGGGCCGCTGAGAATAAGTACATTTCTATGAAGGATGTATTTCTTGAGCCATTTTGTAAACTGTCAGCCCACAAACTTCAGGCCTGGCCCATTAATAACTCTACAGGCTTGCTCCATCATGGCATTCTGGTAATTTTTAGCGATCTCTTGAGGACAAATACACAAAGTTATCGATACCCCATTTTTTCCTAGGGTTTCTCCGTGCCATCTCTATCTGGAGCAGCCCCCAAAAAAATAAAAACCCTAGTTGTGAACGACCAGCCACCTCCGCCTCCTCCATCAACGATGAGGAGCCATCTCCTCCCCCTTCCTTCGTCGACGACGAGCAGCCGCAGCCCCCGCCGCCTCCTTCGTCGACGACGAGCAGCCGCAGCTGGAGCTAAGTATGTAAATTTATCTTTTCTTTCTCTAATTTTCTTTTCTTTCTCTTTTTTTTTGGTTTTTCTTTGGCCGTATCCGAGTGACAACCACCGTATCCGAGCCGTATTTCGTATCCGGATCGGTGTCGGGTCGGATCGACGCCGGTACGGCGGTCAAACCGCCGTGTCCGAGTAACGTAGACCATGCCATGCCTCCCCACTTTCATCGCAAAGATATGTAACCCATGCTCATAAGGGAGGTCATCAAGTACTGTAGTGGTGAATCACATATCAGGCGCAAAAGAGCAACAAACCACTCTAAGAACCAATCAAGTAATAGAGGACCAGCTAGAAAGCAAGACAAAGGATAACAAAACAGAGAAATGATTTATTGACCAACTAAAGATTTCCAAGAAGAGTGAGGGATAAAGGAGCAAAATCCTAGCAAATTACAGAAACTATAAGTAACCAGTGGGGATTGGGGAAGCAGAAAGAAGAAATAGTGTACGGTAACCAAGCTACTTTCCCCAAGTACGATTCATTGTCTGTTCTAAGCTATCAATATGATTCCATTGGTTGCAACAGTGTGTATCAAACAAGATCCCATAGCAAAAATGCCAAAATCGTTTAACACCTCTTTAGGTTTCTGTGTAAGTTAGTTACCAATTAGTTAAAAAAAGCTCTTCATAACTGAAAGCATAGGTTTCAGATGATCAACAAAATGGTGAAGAGAAACCTACAAGATATATAGGGAGATATATGAATTAGAAAATAGTTCACTTACCTTAACAAGAAAAGTCACTTTAGTTAATAAGAAATTAACCAAATTAAAATAGACTTCTGGATAGATCATCTAGTGACCAATTACTATCACATTCTATATTCAAAAGTACTTTTATTTCTTTTACTCTCAAGAGAGAGAAAAAACATAGCCATTTCTTGGAACAACTAATGCCGAGACCTAAATTATAATGTTCAATTTTAAATAAAAATCTTTTCCTTTTTTGGTGCCAACTTTTTTTAACCAGCACACAAGTATCTGAAATACTATTAGCATAGCTATTCCACTATTTTGTTCATTCAAACAAATTGACATGGGGAGAAGAAACTCATAGGCCATAGCTGAAATTCAATGGTGAAACAAACCTTCGATTGTGCAGAAAGGATATTACTCTTGATCAATGCAACAGGATTTGATGGAATCTGACAAGCAACGGATATAAAATAGCAAATAAATTACAAGTTTCAATGAAAATGAAATATAACTACCAAAGGACAATTAATCATGAAAATACTATTGTAATAACCATGCATCTCATGAAGATCAATATTACAATACCAGCTGTGGTTCTCCATTCTTCACAACATATCGCTTGGTCTGAGAAATAGGCTGTCAAATGAGGCAACATAAATTAGCATCAAACAAACTGCCGTTAGGTTTGACTAGTAAGAACCCAAAGGTGCCAATTGCCAAAATACTACAAGCTTGCATTGACAGTAAGTTACAATCAAAATCATCCAGCATGCTAGGCCACACTTCCAGAAGAGCATGAACTTGTCAGTAGTTAAAGAAACATAACCAGATAGGCACATACAAATTGTTGCTTCTCTCGAAGGCCAAGGTCATCAATCAATCTTCCAACCTCTGTTTCACTTTCCGTCTGCACAGATAAGATGAGTTTAGTCAAGAATATTAATAAATCTAGATTGTGTGGTCACACTTAATTAGCTAATAAGTTGAATAGTAAGGCTTCAAAGCAATAGAAGGTAAGATTGGTGCAAATATGTAACTTTTACCAGCTGATCTGTAGTTATTGAATTCTAATGAGGTAATAATCTGATAAAAGAGCTTACACTGAATTGCATAAATTGTGCTAATAATAAGATATCGGCAACTGACATCACCATTGAGTTGTAATATTATGCTAACGTGAAACTGGACTAAGTGCTGATTTTGTGCTGTTTATATTTAAAGGAAATTCTGTCGTAAAATAAAAGGGAATTTATGGGATATGTTTTCCGCAATATGACTATGTAAGATTAGAGCGTAAAGTGGTCAGGCTTTAAATGAATATAGTTGACAGGTTCCCCTGTAGCACAGTGTAAAGTTTCTGTGGTGAGCAGGCCTAGGGTTCAAATCCTGCTTGCACTAGGCTACAACCTATTCTCCAAAAAATGAATATAGCTAGTGGAGGTTTTGATGAAAAGAGGTGCACAAAATTTAACTAGATTCAAATTTAATAAGGCTTATTTTTCGTTTGATACCCAAAGTTCGCCCATTTTGCACTTTCATACCCCAAAATATCTTTTTAATACTTTGGTAACCCAAAGTTTCAATCTCATTTCACTTTGATACCCCCATCCAAATTGGTTAGATTTTCTATTAAATTTGTATCTCCTGTTTAGCATGTGATACTGCTATTGTGAATATTTGGTTGTTTGGATCTCTAGCAACATGAAAAAATGAGGCACTTTGGGGCACCAACGTGAAAGCCAAATTAATATGACCTATTCTTTCTAAATTCGTTTGAATTTGAATGAATTCCAAGTTAGAATACAAAGGTTGTTTTGCAGTTAAAATAAAATAGAAGAGCTATGTAATATCCTTAATAATTGGAAGTGGAAAAAATGAGATTTGTACCAAATAAGTAAGATATACTTTTGTTTTTACGAGTTGATTCATTGGATAAATATCATGGGATTTGGATAAGCATGAAAAAAAATATGAGGATAAATATGAAAAAAAAATAGAGGATGGGTGATGCAAGACGATCATCAGTCCTTGATTGGGAATTTTATAAATCCACTAGTTTCTTTTTAATTTTAGTAATATCTCCAAATTTAAGTAAGATTTTCTCAGGATTTGATTTAGGATTTTTAGAATCTCTGAGATTTTATCTTTTGTTTCTTTTTATTAGACTTGGTTAGGATTTAATATAATTTCTAAATTTAGTTATTCTCTATAAATATAGTTCTATTCCTCCATGAGGAATTAGACATTAATCATAAAAATTTGAGTTATGAGAATTCTCTTAAGCATGTGAATTGCTAAATAGTGTGACTCTGTGAGGCCCTGGGTGTAAAGCCCCTTTCAATTAAGTCCCCTTTAATCTCAGCTTTCGAATCCAATTTCTCTTTAAATCTTTGCCCTCCAATCCATCAAAACCTAATCCTCAAAAGTTTTTTTTTTAAGTTACTGTTCCCTGATGAACAGTACTATATTCATCTGCTTGATCAGCGCCTTCATTACTCCTCATCCGCCCCTCCACGATATTCGACCCCTCGTGCCTCTTCATTGATTAGATTCAACCATGCCTAAGTTTTGACGAGCCCCGATGAGCTCTCGTGATCCGATCAAGTATCGCCTATATAAATCAAGAGGTTATTAATATATTAGCCGAATGGTGCACTTCTATTTGGCATTATTAGTCTTCTTCCTACAGCTCCAAAGCTTGGAATCTAAACTTGAGCGAGTCGAGACTTTACTTCAACAATCCGAGAGCAAAAAGGGAAGCCTATACAAGAACATTGAAACATTTGTGCAAGAGCAAAATTTTCTAGCATGAGAAAATGAAAACATTAGGTGTTGTGTCGAGCAATTGGAAGTTGAGGGACAGAATCACTCGACGCATTGAAAAATGGGGACACTTGGTCAAGGAAAACATAACTTAGGATCTAGGAAATATACTTATAATAATTGAGTCAAGTTCATAAGAGGATCCCAAAAGCATCCTGCAGACTAGAATACCTCGATTAGGTAGATAAGGGAGTGCACCCATGGCTGACACATGTTGGGTGCAGATACTCCCCAGACACACCTTTGACACAGAGTTCTCTCTTTAGGCCAAAGGAATCCAAAAAATTACCCAATCAGTCCACATTTTCTCTTTATTCAGTGGACCCCTAAGATCCCCAAAAAACACAATCAATTATTTGGGTTCTTTTGGGTATAGGGTCATTTTGAACCCGATAACCCAATACCCATACTTAAAGCTTTATAAGAATAACCATGTGTCCTGTGTCTTTCAAGTCCAGCGCAATCCCAACATCATTTCTCTCTTCTCCGAACCTAAACACAAAAATGAAGAAGATGGCGATCGGAGTTCTACTCGAGATTGGATTGTTCTATTCATCACTACAAGACCACCTCCCGTTCATATTTCTAACTTTATAGTATCTCAAAATAGTAACTTAGCATTTTTAACTCAAGGGTTTTCTAGGGTTTTCCCATTTTATTAGTCAAGAAATCAATTTAAGTTTCTCCTTCTTTATTGAGTTGGATTTTCTGATCAATGTTCTGGTTTCATTGTTTTAGATTTCTAGTTACTGATATATTGTTCTTTGATTATAAAGGAAATAAGGATTGATCAAGTATTCTTATTCTTATATGTAGTAATTAATATGCACAATTTTATACAGATTATTGAATTTCTAACTTACTCAATAGTTATTTGTATATACAATTGGAAAGTTTATTAGTATATACAAATTTATATATTATTGTTCTTGTTCCTATCTCCTCTGTTTCTTTTTAAATTTTCTATATATCAGAATTATGATTATCTCCTGGTTAATAATTGTAGGAAATTGAATGGACTAGAGATTTTCTATGTATGTATGTGTGCGTGTGTATATAGAAATCGTGCAATACCTACACGCACACGTGTGTGTGTCTCTACACACAGACATATATATAATACACACACATACATACATGTGTGTGTGTGTATAGATGTAGATATATATACATATCTGTATATGTGTGTGTGTATACATATATGTATATGTGTGTGTGCGCGCACACATATACATATGTATATGTATATATATATATACATATATATATCCCCTCCACTCATTCAAATTTGGGACCACATTCACATGAGTTGAGGAGTACATGGGGATATGCAACTATTTGAATGAGTGGAGGGGATTATGTCACCTCACTACCAAGCACAATTTTTTGTGCTTGGAACCAAGCATACACATTTCTCTCTCTATATATATATATATAGAGAGAGAGAGAAATGGAGAAACCTGGTACCAAGTTGCTCCATTGAACTTGGTAGTAATGTGGACTGATCTGGTCCCTACATCTACATTAGAGTAGGTGAAAAGTGGTTGAGGCTCTATTTTCGAGTAGTGATGTAGGGACCAGATCAGTCAACATCACTACCAAGTTCAATGGAACAACTTGGTACCAAGGTTCTCCATTTTTCTCATATATATATATATATATATATATATACAGCTATATTCAAAATGTCTAATAACAGGAGTGAGTTATAACTCAGCAACTAACTTTTTAACTGTGTATACATTCGTATGTGTGTGTGTGTGTGTATATGTCTGTGTATACATTCATACATATATCTATGTATATATATATGTATATCTATGTGTGTGTGTGTGTGTGTGTGTACACACACACACACACACATAGATATACATATATATATACATAGATATATGTATGAATGTATACACAGACATATATATACGTAGATATATGTACGAATGTATACACAGTTAAAAAGTTAGTTGCTGAGTTATAACTCACTCCTGTTATTAGACATTTTGAATATAGCTGAGCAGCCTGAGTTATCTTGCTTTCGAGGAGAATCAAGCATTGACTTTTAAGTTGTAGCTATCGCATATGATCTAATACCGGTTATCAATCATAATGTGACCATGTATTTGGACCTTAAAGTGTCATTTTTAGTGACTTTTTGAGACCATATTAATATGAACACTATGAATTATGTTAGAAAGTATAGTTGCTAATGGTGTATGGTAAAAGAAATGAGCATGATTTCTTATGAACCATAATGATAAGTACATCCAAGTGTTCTTCTGTTTGTGGAATGTGGACAAGTTTTTATAAATATCATTTATGTACGATTATTGTTATTATCTTCTTTGTCTTCATGCTCAAAAGACGAGCAGGATATGCTATATGGACAATCTTGTTGTTCATCTACGACAAGTTTATTGTGATATCTTCTACTGCAGATCCCGAAAAAATAAAAATAAAAAACTCTTTCACAGGACCAATTAAGAGTTGTTATAATATTAATCTTAAACACACCTCGTGTTCGCAATTAAATCAATATACTCCATTTACATGTGTGTCTTTTAGTAAAATATCCAAATAACTTTGTGACGTATAAATAACATAAAAAACGAGGTTTTCCACACGCACCATAGTATTTGCCCCTTCATCCCATATAAGACCATCCAGTGAATTGCTTCTTATTTTCCCACCAGCTCTTCCTTCCGCTTCAAAAACAGTGACTCTCACACCGTTTGACTTGAGTCTATATGCAGCGGCAAGCCCACTGATTTTGGAAATATTAGCCCCAATTTTCAATCAGAAAAAATTTAGAAGAATAATATCGGCACATGAACATGGTTAAACAAGTATCAAAAGTGATATTTTTACTTATTTTAAACCATGCATGTCTTTACACATGACAGAAGGTCTGAACTTGTAATTCGTTCACAAATACCTAATATCTCAGACAAGAATAAGGCATCACTATGACTATAGAAATTAAAGTGATATGCAAATAGGTCATCAACAAATTTCTGATGTTACATGCGATCTTATCAGAATCACAGATGAGCTTCTCATGCTAAATTTCAAAGAAGTTAACAGCTAAAGTGACAGATAATTAGTTTATGGCTAGCCACTTTAGACCTGACTTCACACGCTGTATTTTGTCTTAAAAGAAGTTAGATTCAAAATCAGCGTTTAAAATCGAAAACGTATACATGCCCAATTGTTCCATATATTATTCAGGACTTCTATGTTAGAATAAACTAAAAAGAAAACTATAATCAGCATTGTTCAATTCACCAAACTACCGGAAATTGAAATATTTACAAACCATAAACAACACTAAGTCATCAGTATCATCAATTTTCGGCTTCTAATCCTTTTCTCATCAAACAGGGTAAAGCAGCTTCAAAACTCAACATGAACTCTACAATTAAGTCACATCAAAGGTCGAAACAATTCGACCAAATCAAGCTCAGACCCACATTATCAGTCATGCAATTCAAGCTCATGACTGCTAGAAGCAACATGATGAGTACTATTTAAAAATATGGGGGGAAACATCATCACAGATGAAAATTAAGAAATTTATCGGTAAAATCATACCTAACACCGCTGCCGACAACTGCCACAGACTTAGCAGAACCTGAAGAAAACAATTTCAGAAAATTCACAGCGAAGAAGTCACAAACTATCCAAATTCGAACTGGATGGAGGATCTGCTACTAGACGAAAGAACAGGAAGCGATAAATGAAACAGTATCGGCCGATACGAGATGAGACAGCAAGAACCTAGGGTTTTGTTGTACCTGAGACCGAGGCGGCGTCGGAGAGATCCATCGGCGAGATCGAGCAGCGGTCGGAGGAATTCTCAGTTCAATTTTTGGGTCAGATTTCTTCGATCAGTGGAAGTGCGGGGTCTGTGATTGGATAGGATAAGTAATGGGCTGGGCTTTGTTGATGAATTTTTAAAATGTGGCCTAATGTGGTAATGGGTTTGGGCTTGTTCATAAATATTTGATGATAGTCCACAAGATATAACATCTAAACATTGCGGTTCATAATTTATTCAATTAACAATCGGCTAAATTTGACGGGTTGGTTTTTTTTTCTAGCGCGCCTCGTACCAGTTTGTTATCTTTTTCTTGCTCAGATGATGTTTTGGTTATTTTTTTTCCAAGCCAAATGTGTTAGATATTTTGTTAACAAAAGGCAACTTTGTCTTCATGAATTATAATAAATATGTAATTAAAACATGCAATTAAAAATATGTGTAACGGATATATAATTATATTATAATAAATATGTAATTAAAACATGCAATTAAAAATATGTGTAACGGATATATAATTATGGGGAACGTTACAAAATTTATGATGAACGTTACAAAATTAATTACGGGTTTTGTAACGTCTTTTCCAACCCTATATATATACGTATGTTGAGCTCAAAATAATAAGAAGAAAAGAAAAAAATATATACAACAAGTTTCTCTTGTTTTTCTTCTCTCCCCTACATATTATTTTTATCTACATTTTAGTTTTATTTTATGGGCAACTTCCTTCATCTGAGCTGAAGCTCTGCACTCTCGCCCGAGTGTAGAGGCCGGCCGTTTCCGGGGTTTTTACCGCTAGGGGGAGGGAACCATCTGCGCCAGGGCGATAGGCGGGTTCTCAATCTTCTAAATTGTTGGAAATTTATCAAATAATTAAGATTATAGCATGCAAATAAATCCGAAAAAATAAACAATTAAAACTGGCCTGATCGGGAGCAGTCGTTAAAACTGCAGAAATTACAAAATTTATGATGAACGTTACAAAATTAATTACGGGTTTTGTAACGTCTTTTCCAACCCTATATATATACGTATGTTGAGCTCAAAATAATAAGAAGAAAAGAAAAAAAAATATACAACAAGTTTCTCTTGTTTTTCTTCTCTCCCCTACATATTATTTTTATCTACATTTTAGTTTTATTTTATGGGCAACTTTCTTCATCTGAGCTGAAGCTCTGCACTCTCGCCCGAGTGTAGAGGCCGGCCGTTTCCGGGGTTTTTACCGCTAGGGGGAGGGAACCATCTGCGCCAGGGCGATAGGCGGGGTCTCAATCTTCTAGGGCAGTGAATACACGACTGCTCCCGATCAGGCCAGTTTTAATTGTTTATTTTTTCGGATTTATCTGCATGCTATAATCTTAATTATTTGATAAATTTCCAACAATCTAGAAGATTGAGATGTTTATAGCTTTCGATTTAAATCCAGAAAAATAATTTTTAAAGTTACTGTTCATCCGAGACAGCACTGTTCACCCGATTTAAAAAAAAATTGTTATTACTATTCGCAATTTAATCAGAAATTGCTGCTCATTATAAAATAAAAAGTACTGTTCATAAAAAAATTGTTACTGTTCATAAAAAATTGGTTACTGTTCACAAACCTGTAACTGTTACTGTTCGTTTTATTGAAAAATGTTACTGATTCATTATTAAGAATAAATACATTTTGTAGTTAATGTTTCTGTTAATTTAATTAACTGGTAATTAATTTTAACGGTTAATTGCAATTAATTGTTTAAATTGCTTTAATTGCTTTTATTTGATTATAATTAAAAACTAACTGTAATTAATTACAAAAGCGTGTAAGTTTCTTGTTAACCGACCTTTTTATCAACACTTTTAGGTCAATCTACCTTGGTATATCTTTCTGTTGTTGTATGAGGAAGATTTATATAATATGACCAGTGAAACTTATTAGAAGCTAAAGTTTGTTTTCTATGCTTATCAAAAAATATCATTAGAAATGTCATGATTGCATAATAATTAAATTGTATAAGTACAATTGCATTGGCTGTAACTTTGCAATAATTGAAGGATGGTTTCCATTGTTGCTTCACTCTCCTTTGCAGTTGTACATAATAGAATAATTTTTCTTACCTCCATGTTCAAGTTCGTATATTTGATTCCTTTGCAGTTGTACATAATAGAATAATTTTTCTTACCTCCATGTTCAAGTTCGTATATTTGATTTCACCTTATGTTTCTTGAACTCTTGATCAAATCAGTTTCCTGATTTGATTTGTTTTGAACATAATCTATTGGGTCTTTAATTAGCTTCTGCTATGTACATTCATTAAGTCAGATCTGAGTGATGCTCATATAGATATATATAGTTGACCTTAATTGGAAAATAATTTGAAATATGCACGTATTTGTAATGTTCAATGAAACATGCCTATAAAATTTGCAGCAGTGTATATTTTATTCTTAAAAAATTTCATACGCATGGTTTTGACAAGAATAAAGAGAACAAACTCTGGATGCATAGATGCTTTGAAATATCTGGATTGTTTTTTTTTTCATGGTTTAATGCTTTCATTTCCTTAACCTATCAATATGGTACCTTAATATCTGGATTGTTTTTTTTTTCATGGTTTAATGCTTTCATTTCCTTAACCTATCAATATGGTACCTTTTATTATTAATAATTCCATACTTTGGAGTATTTATGCATCTAATAAGCTTAGTACAGAAGGTGGTAAAAGTGAATGCAGATTTGTTCAGCAACTTAAGTGGCAGTTGTCTGTAGCAGATGAGTTTTTACTCTCAAGACATGAAAATCATGAGGTTCGAACATCAATAGGTAAACCCCTCCTCGGCCTTATCCAACATATGTTTGCAGTATAGTTGCTAGGCAAATTAAATGCTTGCATGAAATAATTTAAAGTTTCTATATACTGTTAAGGAACAAAAACTCATTGAGTGAACCGATTCAAGTTTTCTTGGATTAGTTGGTGTCTAAGGCAAGGTTTAAGGGTTGCGTAACGCGCTCTGCAAGGAACGAGGTACTTAATTGATCTTTGATCAACCTCTATTACTATCCTTACCTGGCTAACTACCCGGGTAAAACTTTAATCTTTTCACTTTAGGAGTTTTGGTTTGGAATAAGAGGACCGAAATTATGAGAAAAATTCATATACATTTATTTAATTACGCTTCTTGCATCATATATTGCCTAATGATAAATGATCAATATATGAGCGAACCAAATCAAAGAGGTGCAATTTTTAAAATTCTATTTTATATGATGGATTATATTTCAAATCTTCAAATGTAAAGTTCATCACTTTTATTGCAATATATGTTCATATGTCTTTTTAGATAACTTGCATTTGTTTTATGATTAATTACAAGATTTTATGCAAGAATACACTTAAAAATTTTAAAGCACGTATGTACAAATATTATTATTATTATTATTTGTATAAGAGGTGGTAATAGAAAATGATAACATAAATTTGGAAGGTCTCTTTTGTAGACAATCAATTTAAATTTGGAAGGTCTCATTTGTAGGCAACCAATTTAAATTTGGAAGGTCTCCTTTGTAGGCAACCAATTTGTAACCTCTTATAATAGAATAATTTAAAAAAATTTATGCATTTGAATTATGAAGTATGAAATATATTTTAAGATACGAAAATATATTTTAAGATACGAAATCCTATTATGCTCTGCATGTATCTATTATTAATTTCATTCATGTATGTGCATATGCATAACTGCAGAATTTTTAGTTCCACATTAGTTTGAAATGTTCAGATATTAAGGTCAATCTCTTCAGACATAGACTATGATCTTTTATGATCATAGATCATGACCTAATGTCAATTTCAAACAATATGATGGACTAATTACAAAATAAGAACTTGATAAATAAATACAACGCCTGCTAGGCAAAGTTATGATTCTAGACTTTGTAAAGTCTGTGAAAAGAATCTTGATGACCCTTTGACTAAGGGATTATCCAGGAGTGTGGTTCTGGATTCATCGAGGGAAATGGGGTTAAGCCCATAGATGAGGTCACTGACAGCGGCAACCCAACCCTTATTTGGAGACGTAGTCCCAATGTCGGTTCAATGTGGTAGAAACAAGCTGGACTGGTGACACTCGTGTGGAGCATCGGCCTAGATATATTTATATATCATTATGTAGCATTTGCTACTACCCCTTCTCTATGATGACGATGCTCTTATGATACAGCTGGCTAGGCTGAGTTTTACTCTTAATAAGTCCAACGCGTGTATTATGGGGGGTATTAAATAAACAGCTGTAGTACCATTTGAGGACTTACCTACGTGAGAGGAACCGTGATGGCCGCGGTTAGGGGGGGCTGGGCTAACCCCTAGAAACTCTCATGAGTCGGTTTATTGTGAGCATGGCCTTTAACGCTCAACCCGCTTTGCTCAATAGATGAAGCGTATTGTGTGTGTTTTCATCAATACCTGATTAAAGGGGCCTAATTCAAGGCCTAGTCCATTATGTCCCTCAGGTGGCGATGAACTCACTAAGGAAAGGTTCAAAGCCGAAAGCTACCTCTCCCGAATTCACGATACGAAAGGTTGCCCAACCTATTTTCATTTTGTGATTTATTAATTTATTTATTGACTCAGATGATGTTTTGGTTATTTTTTTTCCAAGCCAAATGTGTTAGATATTTTGTTAACAAAAGGCAACTTTGTCTTCATGAATTATAATAAATATGTAATTAAAACATGCAATTAAAAATATGTGTAACGGATATATAATTATGGGGAACGTTACAAAATTTATGATGAACGTTACAAAATTAATTACTGGTTTTGTAACGTCTTTTCGAACCCTATATATATACGTATGTTGAGCTCAAAATAATAAGAAGAAAAGAAAAAAATATATACAACAAGTTTCTCTTGTTTTTCTTCTCTCCCCTACATATTATTTTTATCTACATTTTAGTTTTATTTTATGGGCAACTTCCTTCATCTGAGCTGAAGCTCTGCACTCTCGCCCGAGTGTAGAGGCCGGCCGTTTTCGGGGGTTTTTACCGCTAGGGGGAGGGAACCATCTGCGCCAGGGCGATAGGCGGGGTCTCAATCTTCTAGGG